CAAAATATAAAAGTGGGTTTTCAATTTACTTGGTGTTTTTCTACAGGTACGTCCTCGTGTATCTGTTTTAATTCTTGATTGGTTAGCGTAATATTAAAATATCTAGTCAGGTCTGCGTATAACCGTGTCTTTGCGAATTAGTTTGATACGATATGTCTTGCATATTTCGACGGCTGTATAATCCCTCAACATGTTTCATCAAAACATTTAATTGGTTAATATAGGATCTGTTCTTTGTCTTTGGTGATTAGTTATATATTGTCTGTTAATGAATTAAGAGAAAAACTTCCATAAAAATTGTTTAACGCTTAAGGGAAAACACGTCAACCTTTTAAACTCGGATTTTTAAGCACCAAACTGATAAAACTTTTCTTGAGTAGTAGTTTATTGGTAAAGATTTATCGAAATCCTTTATCGATGAAAGAAAAACATGAAATACTGTGATAAAATTAATCGAATCTGAAGAATCCAGATAACAGAGGGCAATCCAAGCACTCGGTAGGTTTTTTTTTAGTATTTCTAAATTTTGGTTAAAAATCATCGGCGTACTTTAAAATTATTTCCAGGGAAATTCGTTCTTTATGTCGTTAAACGCTCGTGCATTCGTTTACATTGAAGGAATAACTGAAGCAATAGCTTCTCAACACTGTACGTGACAAAGTACTAATTTTCTTTACGTGGCATCATAAATATGATGTTCCTGATCTGACATGATGTTTGACGATGGAATGATAAAGTCTCTTATTATCATCTTTGATCAAATGATTTCAAATTTAACTTAATAACCGAATGGTATTACTTTTTAAGTGGAAAGTTTGATTGCCATATTTTATCAGCTCTCTAGTGCTCGAATATACCACACTCGTGTATTCTTTGAATAATGACATGGTTAGGAAATGAAAAAATACTGTTATGCAAGGCATGTTAATAAAATTCTTATCGAAAGCTTTTAGCCTCCTATCCTGTAACATTGAAGTTCGTATTTTCTTTTAAAATCAAGCCATCTTTACGAATGAGATACGCACAAACCGTGTGTGGTAAGCTTGGTATACCCCTCAGATATTCACTGAATGGATGCTTTATTTTTATCTTGATCTTTAGTAATTGAGACATTTAAACATGAAGGTTACATAATGTAATCAGTACAGTGGTTACACTTGCTTCTATGTTTTCTTATTTAAAATCCACAATTTCGTTTGTTTTTTTGTTTTTTTTGCTTTTATTTTAACGCTCAAAACAACTTAGTACCTTAATATGAGAACAGATCCAACCCTTTGAACGCATATTGGTTATGAGATCATTTTAAGATATTTTGGAATCATTATTTATTATTTTACAGCAGTCACAAGAACCGTGTGTAACCATGATGTGTAACAGGAATCGTTTTACTCGAATCATTATTTATTATTTTACAGCAGTCACAAGAACCGTGTGTAACCATGATGTGTAACAGGAATCGTTTTACTCGAATCATTATTTATTATTTTACAGCAGTCACAAGAACTGTGTGTAACCATGATGTGTAACAGGAATCGTTTTACTCGAATCATCATTTATTATTTTACAGCAGTCACAAGAACCGTGTGTAACCATGATGTGTAACAGGAATCGTTTTACTCGAATCATCATTTATTATCTTACAGCAGTCACAAGAACTGTGTGTAACCATGATGTGTAACAGGAATCGTTTTACTCGAATCATTATTTATTATTTTACAGCAGTCACAAGAACCGTGTGTAACCATGATGTGTAACAGGAATCGTTTTACTAGAAGCTGAATTGTCTTTACTGAAAAATTAGAATGGGGTAGAATTGCACTATAGTTTTTGACAAAAGTAAGAAACATAACACTCAGTCATTCTCGTCGACCATATACAGCAAAAGTATGTTTAAATAAAATTATTGTTAGCATTATTTTACTTAAAATTGTTTCGGAGTTAACCAGTTCCTCAGTCTATCCTTTTTTTGGTCAAAGAAACATATTTGTTTGGAAATTAACTGTTAAACATTCTAGTCACATTTTCATAATTTCAAACTGACGTTTTCGGTGATCTTATATTCTAGACATCTTTGTTTGGAAATTAACTGTTAAACATTCTAGTCACATTTTCATAATTTCAAACTGACGTTTTAAATGACTTTATATTCTAGACATCTTTGTTTGGAAATTAACTGTTAAACATTCTAGTCACATTTTCATAATTTCAAACTGACGTTTTCAATGACCTTATATTCTAGCTTGGCTAACACCTTTTTTCCCCATTATATTCTAGCGTGATCTTTCTTTATTAGAGATTTAAGATGTAACCTACGTTCATGGTGAGAGATCAATAATGTTAACCTAGATTTCCGCCCATCAACTCGAGTCACACGATCATGACTCAGTACCCATGAAGAACTTGGTGTATCAGGAAGTTCCTAAACGCTTCTAAATCTAAATCATATGGGGTGGACAGCGAAGGGAGATTTCTTTACTAATCACCTGGCTAAGATGGATATAGAAATATCCTAATAAATGAAAGGGCTGGGACACTATGGAAACCAAAATCACGCCAATAGTTAATTGTGGTTGTTATTTGACTAGAGTTGTTATTTGACTAGACCATGGCCTCCTTTTAGTGAAGGTGAACGAATGTTGTTGAATTGCTCAGGTTTTCAAAAGGACCTCTTATGCCCTTTGACATGTGTTCATTTCCGCAACACATTAAAGCAATCTGTCTTTTTTTATAGGTCATTTTTTTCATACTTCATCAAACCCACTAAAAATACCATACAAAATACCTTCGTGAACCAACAGATACAACCTGAATAAAAAATGTAAAAAAATAAAGTCCTTAACGTGTTGAGCTTATTACTTACACATTAAAAGCCTTTGGCATGATTCCCTTTTAACCATGTTTTTGGTAGTGTTGGTAAAAATACATATAAGTCTTTACTGATTTGGAGAACCATTGCTTATTCTTTGTAAATTGTTTGTTTGTTTGAAGTTAAGCACAAAGTTACACAATGGGCTACCTGTGCTCTGTCTACCAGGGGTATCAAAACCCGGTTTCTAGCGTTGTAAATCCGCAATACATACCGTTGTGCCACTAGGTGGCACTCTTTGTAACTATACTTGTTTTATAAGTTCCAATCTCAAGTGCTCAAATAATTTATTTCATAATGAGAAGAAAAATATTTCCAATAAAATATCATATATAATATAAGGTCCATTTTTATTCTGCCTCAGCAAGATGACTCATGGGACGAAATTTGTTTGATATGTAATTCCACCTTCATTCATCTTCGTAAAAGACTTGTTTTCTGAGATAGGAATGCCTCTTTCAAAGATACTTTCATTTAATATTCTTTGAACAATCCCTCTCTCAGTAGATCCTTCATAAGTACCTTATATATTTAGTATATGTTATTCACTCCTAGAACACATTATTTAATCATGTATTTTCGAAATGTCAGTCGTATAAATTTTCTTAGTTTTTGTGACTACCAAACATTTAATGCTCGAGGTCACTTACAGGCAACTTAATGTTTACCAGTCGAGATCGTGTGTGTAAGTGATCCTAATCTTAAACGTTCGAGAAATTATACGCAGTCACAATGACTAGTGAATAGAATCTGTGAACCACTGAATTTGTTTATTTGAGAACCGTATGCCAGTATTAGCCAGTTTGGTTTCGTTTCTGTTACTTGCTTGTTACGTGTCACCCCAATGGAACTTACAACGCCAAAATCCAGGGTTCGATTCCTCTTTTTAGACAGAGCGCAGATAGAACATTGTGTTAGTTTGCGCTAAAACAAACAAATCGAGCGTGTTACGCTTACGTTCGATATTTTTCAAGCTTTTGTTTGTTTGTTTGTTCTTTTAATTTCGCGCAAACCTACACGAGGGTTATCTGCGCTAGCCTTCCCTAATTTAGCAGTGTAAGACTAGAGGGAAGGCAGCTAGTCATCACTACCCACCGCCAACTTTTGGGATACTCTTTTACCAACGAATAGCGGGATTGACCGTCACATTATAACGCCCC